CCGGCTAATTTTTGATTTACTGTAGAGACGAGGTCTTGCCAAGTTGCCTGGGTGGGTCTCAAACCCGCGAGTTCAGACAATCCACTCGCCTCGGCCTCCCAAAGTGCTGGGATTACAGACTGAGCCACCAAGCCCAGCCTGAACCCACACTCTTATCCTTCCACTCTCAACCACGAACATGTGTGCAATACGAGGCTGGATGACCTGGGAGCTGCAGGAAGTAGGTGCACACCCTGGCATCTGTGGCACCTCAGTGTCCCTTCCACCTGGAGATGCAGTGACCGATTCAGTCCTTCTCAGAAACCCAGAATAGCAAGCTGGAGGGGGCCTGTCTTTATCCCATCCTGTGACGGGAGCACCACCCACACTCCCCAGCATGTGGGCCACGTTAGGACAGAATCTGTGACTACAATAGAAGTGGACGCATGACAAGTACCTTGCTGCCGGGAATGCTGCTGCTTGCAGGGGAGGCTGGAAGCTCAGATGGGCTGGATCCTGGCGCTGGCCCCACAGGACTTGACCGATGGTTGGGCTTCTGCTCGGATAAGCCAGCTGCTTTTTTCCTCTGGGCAGCGATTTGGGACAGGACACTATCTATGCTGCCGCCTAAGGAAAGAGATGGGAATGAACACCACAGGCAGAGAGCGCCTACTCTGACACAGCGGTGTGCTGACCGGGCTGGGGCCTCGGTTCCCAGACTCCCTTCTTGGCATGGCTCAAGGTCAGGTCTTGTGGACCACAAGAGAGCTTTGTGTGAGAAGCAAGGGTGGGTGTCAGGCAGCCACACTGCTGAAGTGTCACGGCAAGAGAGGGAAGAGGCAGTGCAGACGAGACCCAGTACATTGTCCTGTCCCTGTGCCACGGCCGCTCGTGCCGCCCCACCCGGCACAAATGTGACGCCCTGCCCAGATCCCATGGCAGTTGGCAGCTGCCCACTCAGTCACACCAGGGCTTCAGGAGGGCCGGTGAGTGATTTGCCCTCATGCTCCGACACCCTCAGTTACTCTGCTGACTACTATCACTAACTCCAAGATACACGGAGCACTGTGCTTCCCTGATGGAGCCTGGTTGCTATTCCCCTGTCCCTGCTTCCCCAAAGCCACTGGTAACCTCGAATCATTATGAAAGGAAGGAAGTGGTGACACCCAGGGCTAGGATGAGGGGAGAGCTCAAGGAAGGACACTAGCCACTAATATTTAGAGAGGATTTTACTACTACCAGGTACGGTTGTGAATACTTCACATGTATCAAAAGACACATCAAAAGGAAAACTCACTCCCTCAGTTGTCCTGACTCTAGGGGACTCACGCCATGGAAATCCCCGAACATGCAGGCAAACATGGAAGCACGATGGCATCACTCAGGGAGGCATTACCCACAAGAACAAACACCTAGCAACAGCCTTGGCTTCCAAACAGGGAGCTAGTCAAACAAACTGTGAGGCCTCATGTGAGTGGAATCCTGCTTGGCTATTAAGAAGATGCTGTAGACATATGCACACAGACATAAAAAGGTGCTCACAATCTAGCAATATGTGGGGGGGGAAAAGCAAGTCCCAGAGCAGCTCCTAGTTCAGGAAGGCACGTGGTTCCAAGAACAGGCTCTGAAGCCCGGCTGCCTGAGTTCAGGTCCTGCTCTGCTACTTCGTGGTTGTGTAACCCCAGGCAAGTTATCTAACTGTCCTGAGCCCCAAACCCTTCATCTGGGGAAATGAAGGAGATAATTCATTTAATGGGCTTGGCACTGTGCTTGGCAAATACTAAGTGCTCAGTAAATAATTACTCCTTTTTAATAAATAATCAAAATATGCATAAAAACACTTTGTAAAAAACGTGCTCAAATGTTAATGATGATCCCTAGTGGGTGAGATCACACCTTGTTTTGATCCTCTGGCTTATCTGATCTTAAAGTTTTTTCCACAAGGAGTAGGGTGGCCTTCCTACAAAGCTGGCTGTGGTTAATCCCAAAGTACCTTGGGGAGGACTAGAAAGCAGGCTTAAACCCAAAATAACTTCAGGGCATTCTGGTTGAGACCTAATTGCTACCAACTTGCTATGTGACCCTAAACAAATCTCTTGCCTAGTCTGGACTTCAGTCTCCTCATCTGTTCGATGAAGGGGCAGAATGAGAAGCTCTTTAAGGTTTAACCTTCGGGGGTTTTAAACACCATGAAAATGCCACACATTCCTCTTAATTTCTTGCAAAGTCTTATACAAAATTATAGACTTTATTTCCCTCCCTCTCCATCCACCCTCACCCCTAGGGAAATGCATAAAAGGAACAAGGAATTCATTGAAAAATCCCTCAGCCACATCAAGGAGAAAGCCTCAAGTGTGGTCCTTGCTGGGACAGCCTGCAGCCTGAGGATGGGAGCAGCTCACTCTGTGAACCCCAAAGGCTGGTCCCACTCCCCGAGAGGTCAAGCCCAGCTACCCACCTGAGCGGTTAAGCAGCTCCCCACCGTGCCGTCCCACGCCCCCAGCTCCACTGGAACCACCCGAGGAATGAGGCGAGTGGTTGAAATTTCCAGAATTGGCAGGAGAGGCTGGGCTTCTGGAGAGGCTTGGAAACTTGATGGGCCTGATGGGAGTCTGCAAGAATAAGGAGGGCATGGCGTTCAGGGTTGCTACTCCCTCCAGACACACCGGGTAACAGTGCAGGGATCCCCTGTCCCCATCTGGTGTCCCCCATCCAGTAGAGCTCACCTAGCCCAGCGAGGACGGAGCCTGCCAGGAGTCCCCTAGGAGATGGAGCTCACGTCTGTCTGCTGACAACCTACCCATTAGCTCTGTGAGCCCATGTCATGCCATTTCCCACTGGCCACCTTGCTTTCAGTCTCATTCAACTCCAGTGTCTTCCAGGGAAAAACCTAACCACGTCATTCACTGAGAAACTCCAGGAGGCCTCATCACACCCAGGATAAAATCCACCCCTCAGCACAGCCTGGTCCTGTGACCAGTTTTCTAAGCCTGCTTCTCCCCCTGCAGGTCCATCTGCCTGGAACGTGTCTCTTCCCCGCATCCCTCATGGAGCTTTCCCGGCTCCTCCATGCCTGGTGCCAGTGACCTGGCCACGTCCTCTCACTGCACCCTCCCTTTCACTTGCTCTGCTCCTGACATGCTGACTTTCTTTGGGTTCCTTGTAGATGCTGATCCCGTCTGTGCCCCAGGGCCTTTGCCCATGTGGCAGTGCTACAAGGACTGCCCTCTCCCCACCCTTCCCATGGCGGCCCCTTGTCCTATAGGCCTCAGGTCTCAAGGCTTTCCTGCCTAAATGGCCGAAGGCAGGCTCCCCCAACGTGGCTGTGCTCCCTCCCAGCACCCCGTTCATTTGCACCACAAACCTTATCACAACTTGCAAGTGTACATCTACCATTGGTTGCCGTGTGTATCAGACCCCAGTGGACTTTCAGTTCCATGGACTCTGCCCTCTGCTGTAGCCCCTGCACCCAGTTCTGGTCTCAGCACAGAGAAGAGAGATGTGACTGAAGGTGCAATGGGCTGAGTGGTTGCCCCCGAAAAGATACACCTGTGTCCTAACCCCAGAACCTTTGAACATTACCTTATAAGGCTAGTGAGTGGATATCACAAGTGCTTGCATGAGACGTGTTTTAAGTTAAGGATTCTAAGAGAGGGAGCTCACCCTGGGCTCTCTAGGTAGGCCCCAAATGCAACCACAGACATCCACACAAGGGAGAGGGCAGAGGGGATTCTGACAACAGAGGGGGTCATGTGTCCACAGAGGCAGAGATGGAGCAATGCAGCCACAAGCCAAGGCAAGCTGAGGCCATGAGAAGCTGTAAGGGGCAAGAAACAGATGCTCCCCTAGGACATCTAGGAGAGGGCGGCCCTGCTGACCCTGTGGTTTCTGACATCTGACCCTCAAAAATATCAGAGAATATGTCTCTGTTGTTTTAAGCCTCGCAGTTTGGGGTAACTTGTTACGGCAGCCATAGGAAACTAAGACAAAGCTTCAGTTTGAGTAATCCTAAGGGAGGGACAGTATCAGATCCTGAGGGCCCAGAACGAGAAAAAAAAAATGTCTGCTAAGTGAGCAAGAGAGAACACGACAGCAGAGGCCAGAAGCACACATTCTCATATCCTCCAATGGGAAGGAAACTCTTCCCCAGCCTGTGAATCCCAGCTCAGAGATCACTTCTTCCTAGAGGCCTCCCCTGACTGCCCACCACCACTCCCACCTCACAGTCGACCATCTGATACTCCCAGAACACCTTTACATGGCTCCTGCCTTGTGCTCTGTGTCTGTGTCTTTTCAGCCAGACCATGGCCTCTTCTTCAGGCAGGGTCAGTCTGGCAGGGCCACATGGAGGCGGGGCTCAATGGATGCTTGCTGAGTAAATGACAGTGATGGTGATGTACTGCCCCTCTGGGATTAGTGAAATTCTCAAGAAAATGTAGCCACAGAAAGGGTCTCGGGGGTGGTTCTGTAACTCCCCCCACATTCCAACCTGACAGAGAATAGTGGACGAAGCGCAAAACCTGTCCAGCCTGTTTTGAGAGCATCTCTAGGTGCCAGGCCCTTGGACTCCTGCCAGCTGCATGCTATCACAACAGCCCTGGGAGGCAGCAGTAAGTGCAGGAGTTGCCTCATCTCACAGACAGAGACAGAGAGCTTGAGTCTCTCTGATCACCTAGCACCAGGCAGCAGGGGCAGTCCTGTCCTTGCTTTGCCTAGTCACTGCACTACAGTATTGACACAGGCTACAACAGAGATGATCTCCCATATGGATGGGCTGCCTCAGGACACAACAGAGACAGGCCAGGGGACATGGAGTTAGAGGCTACTGTGGTCAAAGAGACAGAAGGCATACTTCTTCTAGAAGCAAGAAAACCCCAGTAGCGTACACAGTTGCCTCCTAATGTTTGCTCTTGGTTGTGGGCCTGAGCAATAACGTAGCGTACAACTTAATTAAAAGCCAAGAACCTAATTTCTGGTCCCAAGCTCACCCCCACCTGGCCGGTGATCTTCAGCAAATGACTCCCTGTCTCTGGGTCCTAGTTTCCTCATCTGCTAAGGGTAAGTTTGGATTAGACAGATCAGGTCTTCAAACTGTGTTCCTTGGAGCTCCAGGGTTCTACAGAAGAAACAGATGTCCCCCACCCCAACATTTTAACGTTTTACATGTTGAGTGGCTTCATTAGACTATATCGTTCATTCAAAAGAAAAGCCGCAACCCCTCAGGATACATCTGTCTGAGGTCACTCTGTCTGGAACACACCATGGTCTCAGTGAGGAATCAGCGACCTTTAAAAAAAGCGTGTTAGCTGCACGACTTACAGTATCCATGCTCCCGCTGCCTACAGAGTGGCCCCTGTTGGCTCTCTGGGGCAGCACAGTCTTCATGGGGTCTGCCTTCCCATTGTGACATATCCGGGACCGACTGGAACTCCACAGTTCAAAACTGGAAGGAGGTAAGAAGGGGGGGATGACTGCTTTCAGCTTGTCACTCGGGAGTCTGGTGAAGGGGGCTCCGTTTCGAAGCTGAAAAAGATGGGCTAAGGGTTAGATGAGCCCAAGAGGGCTCCAGCTTTGGGGAAAGATTCCAGGTTCTTCCTGCGTCTCAGAGTATCGCATCACCATCCACCCTTCCACCCAAGCCAGGAGCCCAGACAGCATCCTCGGCTTTCCAACCACGCAATGTCTACATCTACTCTGCCCCAATCCTGGCTTTTCTTGGATCTATCCACAGCAGCAAGATGAGGACAGGGCAGAGGGGACAGAGAGCCAAGGACAGGCAGGTGAGGGTGTGCTGTGAAGGGAGGCAGAGAGACTGGGAGAGCACAGAGGAAGGGCACCCTAACTGCAGTGAGAGGGCAACTCGGGAGGGACTGAGCTGGGCCCAAAGCACAATGCAGGCGAGCCCAGTGAGGACAAGAGGGGCATTCCAGACCCAGTGAGGAGCCAGAATGTGCAGAGCTGCGAGACCAGCATGGGCGGTCCTGAGGACTGGGGGAAGAAGAGAAGAGGATGAGGGGCCCAGCATGCCCTTTCCTGCTGCTGACTTTTTCAACTGTAATTGAATTTCAAATCTTGGGATCCATATAAAATCCACACAGTGATGGCTGTTGGATCGTCAAGGAAAAGCCTTCACACAGACCATGCTCACCTTAATTAAGAAAAGGCAGTGAACTTGGTGCCAGATGGTGCTTTGCAGGGATGGGCATCCCACAGCTAAACTCGCCTCGGGAGCCACGCAGGCGGGCATCTCCGCACCAATGGCTGCGCACGTCCATCAGCGGGGTGGCGGGGGCCATCCCCAGCCACTGCGGGGCGGGCTGGCACATTGGCACCCTCTATAGGCCACGAGCCGCCAGGGCAGGAGGGCATGCCTCTGCATTCCCATACTGGCTGGGCCCTGCCTGTCAGTCTGTAAACAAGTCTCCAAACCTCAACAACCTCATCCAGAAAATGGTACGCCGGCAGGGGGGTTGGATGGACGCGCAGAGCAGCAACAAACCACCATCATGGATGGGCCTTTTCACTCCCTGGGGAGAATCTAAATTGTGGCAACCTTTCTGGCAACCAATGACATTCATGCCCTTCGACCCAGGAATTTCATTTCTAGATATGTATCCTGAGTAAATAATCAGGCAAGTGGGAGAAACTGAGTATAAGGACACTCCTCCAAGGTGCTAAAATAATGAAAAACTAGAAACCCCAAAGTCCAGCAGGTCAGCCTTGGATAAAGAGAAACACTGCCATGATGGAATGTTCTATCATGCAGCCATTAAACATGATGTGGCTAAAGGGTGCTTAATGACATGGAAAAGATGGCCATGACAAACTGTAAATGAATCGGGTTCAACACAATGGGGAGGATAATAATAGTGCCAACCTCAGGCAGTTGTCGGGGATATTAAATATGTTAATAGTGGTTAGGATTTAGAAAAGTGCGGTGGTATTTGCTATTATTATATATGTCATGATATCATATCCATAGATGCTAAAAATGGATTAGGAAAAATAGTCAAAAGATATATACCACAAAATGCCAACTCTGATTATACCTGGGTGTGTGATCAGGGATGAATCTCAATGTTCCTTCTTTACTATTTTACATCTCCCCAAACTTCTTTAATAGCATTTCAGTCTTTATATGGAAAGTAATTATTGCTATTTATTAACATGATCAAGTGTCAGGTGGCAAAACCTCCCACCATCCATGTTAGAGCCATCAATTTACACTTGTTGGCATGGCAGGGTGCAGTAGCTGGTGGGTCAGGACCCCTCGCCCGGCTCTGCAGTTCCTGATGCCGCCCGTGCCTTCTCTGCAGGCACCTCAGCTCCCATGTCCTCTCCAACACCACCCTCTGCTGGCCAGCGTTAGGATCTTAGCGCTAAAGGGACTCCAATTCAACCTACCAGGCTCTCATTTCAGAGGCGAGGAACACAAAGCCCAAAGAGGTGAGGTAACATTATCCAAGGCCACACTGCAAACCTATGCAAGCACTATGGGCCAGGCACTATGCCAAGAACTTTCTGGGAATTAGCTCATTTAAAAACCATGACCACAAGGGGTACCGTCCCCTAAGTCAGAAACTGCAAGCCATTGCGTAGTACCTCCTTCCAAACCTTCCTTGAAATGACACCCCTGATGAACAAAGACCAAACTAAAGTTCCCAGCTTGCTATGCAGCGTGATGTAGTCATGTGACTAAATTCAAGCCACTGTGATATAAACAGAAGCAGTATGTGGCCGTTTCTGGAACACTTCTTTAAAGACTGCGGGCATGCGCCTATGTCTACCTCTTTTCCCTCATCTCTCCTACTGCTGGAATGAGGCAATGATGACCAGAGTTCTGGCAGTCACCTTGGACCAATGGTAACCTTTGAAATAGAGGTCACACGAGGGACTAAAAGACAGAAGAGACTCAGCTCCCTAACTCCATGGAGACTTGTACTAGTCCTAAGCTTTGTTTACTTGAAATAAATAAGCTGCCATCTTACTTATGCCACCGCAACTCGGGAACTTTCTGTTACAGCTGACCCAAATCCTGATAACATCTCTCGTTTAGAGATGCAGAAACCGAGGCCTCTCCCAGGTGGGAAACACACCCTCCTGTCTGACTCCTCCCCCTGGCTCTCCAGAGCCCACAGTGAGTCTCCATGTCCAATGCTGCCCATCCACTCCTTCCCTGCATCCCCCACCCCCCTGAGAACAGGACCAGGGCTGATGTCCAGCCCAGTACCAGCACAGCTGTATTCGTGGTTCAGGGCTGCATCTGTTCTGCCTCTTCGGTGCCACAGCTGAAGCCAGTGCTGCTACACATTCTGGTCACCAAACCCACCTGTGCCCATCACAAAGACAGACACATGTCCACATTCCTCCTTGTAAATCAATCAACTAATGACCTGAGATGCTTTAAGAAAAACTCCGCACTCACCATGGTCGTCAATAAGGCATCTTCCTTTTCTCCTCTCGTGCTCCCAGGACCTGAGAGACAAATGGAAGTTTCCTGAAATGATTTCCCCCCTCCCCACCATGTCCACAATTTGAGGATGAGTGACCAGAGTGGCCTTCATCCTGGAAAACCAATTCTCCTGGGTGATTAAATATTTAATAATAATTGGTATTCAATATTCTAATAGAAGGAAAGCATTTAAAAGGTATCTCAGAGCATGTTTTCAGCATTTCCATAAACCATTGCCGTGCTGGCTCAGACCGTGGTACACCCAGCTCAATAGTCTGTCTCAGACAGTGGTGCCAAAGAAGCTTATCTGGGTATGGAGAACCTGATTGTCAGAAGGGATCTTATCAGTATGGGACTATTCTTCAGCAAGCTGACAAAGGTATCTAAGCTGCTGAATACCTCTAGTGATGGGGAGCTCACTACCCCACCCCTGGGAATTCATTTTATTTCAAGATTCTTTCAGTGCCACAGACCCATCACATTTGAAAGGTGAGGGAAACAACTTATCAAAGGCAAGCGAGAGGCAATGGCAGATCTGTGGTTCCTCCGCAGAGAGTGGGGGACAGGAACCCGGGGCCCTTGCAGCTGGCTGTTGCTTTCCCATTCTATCACGCTCACAGCAGTTGCGTCCCTGCCTAAGTCTCTTCTCTAGCAGACCAGCCTCTCTGCACAAGTGTCACTTTCCAACATCATCTCACCCCTGACACCAGCCCAGGAGATAGAACAAAGGATACAGGTTCAGAGCACTCAAGAAATTCCACTACACATGCAGCCTTTTCTTACCACAGTCTTTGGTCACAGGGACCGCGTCTGGGAATGCAGAGCGGCTTGTCTTGTCGTGGGGGGCTGCCCTCATTGTGGAGTCCAGAGCTGGCTCCAGCTCATCAGAGAAAGGCAAAGGCTGGTTGCTGGACAGCCCGCGGGGCAGCGTCTGCATCAGTTTGAGCTTTCGGAACCTATTAGACATTCTGTTCCACCAGGACTGCCAAGGGGAACGCAGGGCAGGGGTCATACTCTAGGAAGAGCAAGAGGAAAGCGCCAGGATCTGCCCAGTCCAGGGATACCTCACATGTGTTTACTCTCCCCTCTCCTGGGCCCAGGCAGGCATTACCAATCGACCACAGCTCCCAATAAGCCATGGTTGCTCACTACATGCTTCCTGACCTAATCCTCAGGAGGTCCTTTCCGACAGACTGGTGGTGGCAGTGAACCCCACTTGTTATGCTTTACCTCATCTATCTCCCTCTTGCACAGATTGAGAAGTGGAAACCCAGACAGGAGTGCTGAGTGCTCAAGGTCTTACAGTGAGACAGGGACAGATGTACAGAGGTAGCTCCAAATCCCTTGACATCTATCACTGCATAACCTCTTCTTGCTATTCCAGTGACAATATGAGAGGTGCTGGGGTGTCTATACCAAGGCCTGGGCCATCTGCTCCTCTGACTGATTCCTCCCCATCTAGAGAGAGGGAGGCGCTGCCTCCCAAGGACCACTCAGAGGTTACAGCACAGCCAAGAAAGGAATCTGTGAGGGCTGGGCCTGCGGAGACAGCAGGATTGGGAATGAAGGATCTATGTGATGCACGCTTGGAGGAAGGACACAGGAGCACGAGTCAGCAAGGCACATGAAAGGAATGCCGAGGCTGCAGGTCAAAGAAGTTGCAGAGCAGGGAGGACAGCAGACAAGGCCAGGGTTTTTTGTTTTCTCAAGCATAAGTTTGATTTCAAACAAGTAGAGCATGAAGTGAAGATGAGAAATCCAAAGAGAGAGTCTCTGCTTGCAGTTAGAATCCACAACTAGAGCTTGTTTCTGGTGTTTCCAGGAAGCTGGCGGGGCTGTGGCCTGTGAGGAGACCCCAGAGTGGCACATTCAGCAAATATCCTGCACAACAAAGCAGAGGCGGCACACAGATGCCCCGAGAAGAGAAGCCCTTGGTTTGGCCAGCTCAGTGCTGTGCCATGCAGATTTTTCAAAAATTCCCTATACTTATAAATTGAGATTATACATTGAAATCTGGATTTCTGGTTTTTCCTGAAAGAAAAGGAGATCTAGAAGCAACATGGGCCCACATTCTTACAAAGCAGCCACTGCTGTACTCGTGGTTATGGTCACTGTGGTTTCCCTGGTGCCCATTATTCCTTCCTGCTCCCCACAGCTCACCCACCAACCCTGGTGGGAGCCCCCAGCTTAAAATGGCCCCGGTGAACAGGAAGTGGCAGGCTCCCCTGTCCCCCATCCCCCATGACCTTTGAGCCCCTGAAGACAGGAAGAGGCAAACCTTCAGCCCGCCCTTGTCATCAGGCAGCACTGGGATGCTCCAGGGCTGCCGGACCTTCGAGTGGGGCAGGGGTGGCTGGGGGCTGGGCCGGCCTTTGTCTCTGTTCACCTGCATGCAGACAGATGCCAGCAGTCGAACAAGTTCCGTGTCTATGGACACAAAAGGCAGTGTTTTACCTGCAAATATGTCTGTTGGCCTTGGGGGGAGGACCCAAGAAGACCTCTGTTAGCCTCAGAACTCGGCCCCTGCAGCTCCAGGGACTGTGTCACTCCAGAATCAAGGCATCTGCCTCTCATCTGATCTTCTAAGATGGCAACTACAAGCCAACAGGGCTTAATCTACAGGACCAGAAAGAAAAACCAGATGCCCTCTCCCAAGAGGACGGTAGGGGACAGCATACTGACAAGTGCAGGCTCTACAGCCAGGCTCAAATTCTGCCGCTGCCCCTCCCTGGCTGTGTAATTAACTGCAGGTAAATTACAAAGCCTCCCAGTGCCTCTGTGAGAGGGTGACATTAGTACCCTCCACAAAAAGTGTCTTGAGGACACAAGGGAATTCCTTTAGAGCAATACAGTAAGTGCTTTAAAAGGTTAAGTATTATTAAGTTATTATTAACTCAACTAGGTTATTTTGGAAAAGCATCTAGCAAGACTGAGAACTATTAACAATGATTTTCTCTTGACGACTCTCTTCTCTCTCCAAGTGTTCATTAACAGGCATGTGTTTCTTGGAAAATTTTGGGCAAAAACTTCATTTAAAAACCACCAGGAGAAAAAAAAATCCACTAGGGGTAGATTGTGTTACTAGGAAAGGGAGCTGAGGAATGGGAGGGAGTGAGGGGCAAGAGGCAACTGAAAGAACAAGCATGTGGCAGTCCAGCAACAGGGCTGGAGACTCCGCTTCCAGTAATACAAACACTTGGCACACAAGGATGGTCTCCGGCTAGGTGGAGTGAGATCACTGGCCTTGGGGCAGAGGACCAGCCCTCCAGCTGGGTCAGGTCGCTTCGCTGGTCCTGGTTGCCCCATCTCGTCCAGAGGACGTGAAGTTCTACTGCCCCTCTCAGGCCTCTTCCAGGATCAGCCGGAACCAGAGTGCACCTGTGCAGGGCAAGCCTGCAGCGGGGAGTGTGCAGAGCGTGGCCACACCGCCATGAGGAGGGCGCTAGAGTGACAGCAGGACAACTCACTTGGGGCTGCAGAGGTGAAAGTCCTCTCTCTCCCCACAGCCAGCAGCTGGGATCCCAGCACAGGGCACAGAGCCTTGTGGGTCAGAGGGCCTCTGGGCATCTCCTCTCTGGGCTGAAACTCCAGGGATAAGAGAGATGCCGGATCAGAGACCCTGGCCCTTAAGCAGACTAAGTGGAAGCCTCAGGTCCCAGAAGAGGGCCTGCCACAGTAGGCGAGGGCCAAAGGGGAGCAGCAGGTGCCAGCCGGACACTAAGACAGATGGGGGTAATAACAGCGACATCCTCAGCGCAGCATCCTTGACCATGAAACCTCCACCTGCCCAATTAAGCCAAGGGGGTCACCCATTCCCTCTCCTTCTGCCTATCAGAGGGGCCACTGTGTTTCCTCCTGAGTCACTCGGCATCTGGCTATGAGGAACAGATACCATTCGAGGGCTTGTGTAGACTCCAAAGCCAGACACACGCCTTGTTTGGCTTCCCTCTTTGCAGACTCCTAGAAGGCTGGTGCTGGAAGAAGCCCAGCGCCTCCCCAGGAGGGAAAGTGATGAGCCTAAGGTCGTGTGGTAAGCTCCTGACACTCGAGTCTAGCTTCCCCCACCCCCTGCAAATAAGCAAGTGCTTAAAACACAGTCCATGGAGGAGACAGTTATCTTGATTCCCATCTAGACCAAAGCTGGGCAGGTTTACAGCCCTTCCCTTGGAATCACCCACCAGGATCATTCAGCAGCATCACTAGGTCAAAGGCTGTATACCCATTTTTTGCACGAAGGGTGACATCAGCTCCTTGGTTTAGTAGATACTTGACAATTTCTTTATTCCTGGGGAGAAAAGAAAATGCCAGAGTCACTCACTGAAAGCAAACACATGGTTCTGCTCCTCAGTAATAATCCCAGCACTTTAGGAGGCTGATGTGGAAGGACTGCTTGACCCCAGAAGCTAGAGACCAGGCTAGGCAACATAAAGAGACCTCATCTCTACAAAAAATTTAAAAATAAGCCAGGTGTGGTGGAGTGTGCCTGTCGTCTCAACTACCCGGGAGGCTGAGGCTGCAGTAGGCTATAATCATTCCACTGCATTCCAGCCTGGGCAACAGAGTGAGACCCCAACTCAGAAAAAAATAAATAAAAAAAGGATATGGAAGGGCAAACAGTCTAACATCCCATCATCTCCTACCACTCAGGCAGGTTAGACGCAATAGGATTGAAATCAAAGCCTAAATGTTCCCTCCATGGACAAAACGGAAACTGAGGGCTCTGCCCAAGAAACACTCAGCCACCTCAACCCCACACTGACCCCACTGTAGACCCCATTCCTCCCACTGCAAAGCAGAGCCTCTCCACTGGGAAAGCCTTATGCAGACCACGATGTTAATATCGAAGTTTGTAATCAGGTAAGGAACCAAACTGCTTCTAGATGATGCAGAAAAGTGATCTGGTCACCTGAAACAGAGCGAGGAAAGAGCCAGACCACTCAGCAGGTACAAGACGTCTGCCCCAAAGAGGAGGCCTCCAGGAGGGTGACAGCTCCGCCTGCTACTGCTAACGATGCTACCCTGTCCTGCTACTCCTGATGATCGGACAAGAAGGGCTTTGCAAGCACGGAGTAAATGCAGAGGCCCATTCCAAAGGAAAGGGTTAGGAGGGGTCTCACCACCCCACATCACCAGAAGCCCACAGCACGAATGACCGTGTTCGTTTCACGTAGGGCAACTTAGGGAGGCCACTGTGTCTCCGTGTGGGAATCCCAAACAAACCAATCACACTGTTCAACTGAAACCCATCTATGGAAACACCTTTCTGCATAACATGCTCCTGCTGCTTGGTTTTCAAGGCCACTGGTGACTCTGGGGTGGGGTGACAGGAAGTCTGGACACAGAAGGGTGGGGATGCAGGATAAAATGAGCCCATACCACTCTCATCATGGCTCAATGTCTTCACAGCCCTGGGGTTTATATGCGGCATCTCAGGACCAGAAAAGCCCAGCAGAACCCCTGTCTGGCTCACGGATGGGGGCGAAGCTGGCACTGACCCATGGTAGGTGGCCTGCATGAGGGCTGTCCAGCCATGCGCACTGTCCTGCTTGTCGACGTCGGCGTGCCTCTCCACCAGGAGCTGCACCAGAGGCAGCTGGCCCGTGACAGCTGCCAGCATCAGTGGGGTTGCGCCGTCCCCGTTGACCAGATTTACGTGGCTGGGGTCTTCGTCAGCAATCTCTTTGACCAGCTGGAAGTTTCCTACAAATGAAAGCAGGAGTCCGGGTGACCCATGAGCCTTGCACCACAGGCCGACTTACTCAGATGGTTCGTGGGACAAACGTTTGCTGACCCTGCTTGTGCAGCGGGCAGCTGGGCATCACAGGGGCTCCTAATAGGGGTCAGAGACAGCCCCCATTCCATGAAGGGCAGGGGCAAGCACGCAAATGGAGAGCACTGCTCACTAAAAGACAGAGGTATTGCCAGTGTCTTCAGAGAATAGATGAAGAAAGGCAGCAGACACACAGAAGGAGAGTCCAGATCTCACTTGAGCGTGAGGATCAGGGAGGGTTTCCTGGAGGCAGGGTCAATATCAAGACAAAATTTTAGGCTACAGAGAGCCCTTTATCACACAGAGATTGGAGTGGGTAGCTGCACAGAGACATTTCAGAGATAGGAAGAGCTAGGGCACAGCTACAGGTGTTTGGCTGGAAAGGTAGAGGGGCCTGGGAGGCCATGTGGAGCCTGTGCATGGAAAACCACAATAAATACCACCTTCAGGACCTGAACTTCCAAACACCAAAATGCCTGTTCTTCCTCAGCTGCTCTGGGTGACCTTGAAAAGGATTACCATATTGGGGTGGGAGAATGTGGCCCTGTGTTCTTAAACACCCAAAAAGATTTTCTAGAGCACTTACCCATTTTCAATGCATGGAAAATATCAGGTCGCCTTTTCTCCTCATCTAGGTAAACAAAGATTTTAAAAGTTAATCACAGAAAGGTTTAATATAACAGAAAAGTTACAAGGGTGTGGCAAAACAGCCTAGCTTTAAAAAGGATCTACTCCTTTTTAAAGGAGCAATCTAATGGGAGGCCTACATAATGGATGAACCTAGCAGCCCTTCTGGAAGGTTTATTTGCAAAGAATGTCTGAAAGCACCTGGTAGGTCACATGCCAACAAAACACGAGTGAGCACAGATGGCTGCCCCGAGCCCACACAAACCAAGCAACTGTTTTGAGGCACTCCAAACTTGGGGATGTCCTTTCACAGGTATATTGAAAAGCATGGGCTTGGAAAATCTACACTCCTATGCAAATTTTAAAAACTAGCAATGATTTTTTTTCTTCTAGAAACTAAATGTACAATCATAATTCTGAGGCACAGGACCTGAGACACCCAGCAACTAAGCTCAAAGGAGGCCACAGCCACAGGCAGCAGAAGAGATGTTCGTGTGAGCCTTCCTTCCCAGAGAAGCGTGTGCACACACTCCCTGCCTGGGCCTCAGACACGGCTGCCCGCAGGCAACCACCCACCCGGATGTCTCCACGCCAGCCCCTGCAACCCAGCCAGGACCTTCCCTCCTGCCAGCACTACTGGCCTCACTGCACCTCCCCACATGCTAGCCCCTCTCTCAAGTGCTCCCCCCACACCTTCCTCCAAACTCAGGCCCACAGGTACTCCGTTCCGTGGCAGAGTGACATTCCCACAGCGAGGACCTGCCAGGGGACCAAATGCAGACCTTCCTGCCACCTTTAACTGTCCCCAGCGGTGGAGGGCCAAAGGGCATCTGTGGCTCTTAGCTGACTCAGGCAGCTGGGAGGGAGCTGCAGCCCCTGGCAAGGAGTGAGCACATCTGAATTAAGCACGTGGACATAACGTCTACCTTACCTGGTTGTTGCAGGGATCAAATGATAACATTAAGTGGGAAATGCTTCCAAAATGTTAAGGCCTCATCGAAACAGCAGTTATTTTTTTTTTATTGGCAGCCAGCAATCAACCCAGTAAGGTTAGTTACTTAACTCCAGAATCCTTTTTTAATTTTTAAATTTTTGTAGAGGCAGGGTCTCACTCTCTTGCTCTGTCACCCAGGCTGGCCTCAAGCCTCTAGCCTCAAGTGATCCTCCCACCTCAGTTTCCCAAAGTGCTGGGATTACAGGCGTGAGCCATCACCCCCAGCTCCAGAATTCTTAATGGGAAGTAGAGACACTGCCATAGAACCAAGTGTTTAATTTTGCCTGTGAAATACTATCCAAAAAATGATTCTCCATTTAAAAAATGATGCCATATGCCAGGCACAGTGGCTCACAGCTATAATCCCAGCACTTTGGGAGGCCGAGGTGAGAGGATTGCCTGAGCCCACGGGTTCGAGACCAGCCTGGGCAACTTGGCGAGACCACATCTCTACAATAAATTTTTTAAAAATTAGTCAAACATGGTGGCATGTGCCTGTAGTTCCAGCTACTTGAAAGGCTGAGGCAGAAGGTATCACCTGAGGCCAGCAGGTCGAGGCTGCAGTGGCAATGAGCATGCCACTGCACTTCAACCCAGGCAACAGAGTGAGACTCTATCTCAAAAAACAAACAAAAATATATGCCATATGCTCCTTTAAGTATTTGAGTCAAATTTTCTGGGGGCTAGAATCTTCTCATGCCAAGACCTTCTGACAGAAAAGAGTTTGTCCCCTGGTTGTAGTGTTTGCTGCTAAGCAACCATCTGACCATCAGGACTGCCAGTCCAGCCTGACCCCAGGAGGCTGGGACAGCTGATGCCAAGTGACCTTGGACTGGTCCCTTCCTTGCTCTCGTCTTCAGTTCTTGCATCTCGATCTGAGTCATCCCAAGGACCCTGCCCCATCCCAAGAACCCTGCTGACCTCCACACCACAACCACGTGATGAGTTTATGGGCAGAGGGCATGTCACAACGATGGTTACAACATTAAGGATACTGTCCCACTACTAATGGCAGGGAGAAATCGGGGGCCTCCAAGGCCCTGGTGGGGGTAGACTTCCCAGCATCTCACAGGAAGAGCTAGGGCCTACCACTGATATTTAATAATCTTTGTCGCTATTAACAGCACAGACGTGGTCCTTGCCATCAGCCTACCTGCGGCTCTGCCCAGCACACACACTGAACCCCTGTAGTCTGCTACAACCCTGCCTTCTCAAGGCAGCTGCACAGATGCCAAGTTTGAAATAGCAACCTGCAGCCGGGCTCGGTGGCTCAGCCTGTAATCCCGCACTTTGGGTGGCTGAGGTGAGTGAACTGCCTGAGCCTGCGGGTTCGAGACCCGCCTGGGCAACTTGGCGAGACCTCATCTCTACAATAAATCAAAAATTCAGCCGGGCATGGTAGCGCGTGCCTGTAATTCCCACTGCTCGGAAGGCTGAGGCGGAAGGATCGCCGGAGCCCACTAGGTTGAGGCCGCAGTGGCCGGGAGCGGCCACTGCGCTCCAGTCTGGGTGACAGAGTGAGACTCTAACTAAAAAAAAAAAAAAAAAAGAAATAGCAACCTGCATGGTCCCAACTCTGCCGCACTCAATCCCTCGCCTTGCCCACGGCCTACCCTACTATAGGATTTAATCTGTTGATTTCCTGTTTATTGCCTGTGTCCCCTATAGAGGCCAAGGTCTTCAAGGGCAGGGATTCAGATTTCATTTGTTCACTGGAATGGTGCCTGGAACATAATAGACAATAAATATCTGTAAGATGACTCAGTGAATGTGTAAAAACATATAATAACAGCTTCCATTTACTGGATGCTATCCATGTGCCAAGTGTAAAACACTTTAAAGGCTATGATCTTACTACTCCTCACAAAAACCTTACAAGGCAGGTGCCTTTATTATGCCTACTTTGTGAAAGAGGACACTAAAATCCTGAAGGGACAATCAACATGCCCAAGACCATCCAGCTACAGAGTGGGAGACTTGAGCCCCAGGCAGGGTCTGCTTAATGGGGATCATGACCTGGTCCCGATGGAAGGCACAAGATCTGACCCTGTCAAACAAGCCAATGACAGTAACAGTAATGGGTAACGCAAGTGCTCCCTCTGGGTCAGGGATGATCTGTGTCATCCCCACAGCAGTTCTGTAAGCAGGTGTCATTCCTGCCACCCACGTGCACACAAGAAAACAGGAGCTTGGTGAACTCAGGCAACTGGCTCAAGGTCCCTCAGCCAGCAGTAGAGCCAGGGTCAGACCAAGGAGGTGACTATGGTCATGTCCACCAATGAGTCTGCTGTGTCTTGGGGAAATGAGGGCCTCCCCACCCCCGGGTGTCAGGACAGTCCCTAACGTGAGGCCTGTCAGGGGCTAAGCCCATGCCGACACTTTGTAAGGACTCCAGACTCAGAAGCTGTTGGGAGCCTGAGGAAGGAGAAGCACACAGAGCAGAAGGGGCCCAGTCTGGCCGTCACACACTGGCCATGAGATCCTCAGTTTCCTCATCAGTAAAAGGGGTGCTCACCCTCCTCAGAGGGTTCCTGTAAGACTGAGGGAAGATTCAGCATGGCAGGCGCATGCTGGGCACTGCAAGGACCAAAAGGACAGATCCCTTCCCTATCCCTGCCACAAAAACAAACCAAACCCTTTAAAGGAGAGCAAGAGCCTCGTATCAAGGAGAAAAAAAACAAAACACTTGTCCTAGGAGACTGGAACCCTAATTTCTAATTGCAACCCTTTATTAGGACGTAAAGCTCTACTAGGCTAAGCACCTCACACACCAGAGGATAGCTTATCTGTTACAGTCATCATTACACCCATTTCACAGATAAGGAAAGGCTCAGAAAAGTCATGTGCTCACCCAGCTCCTAAAGTCCCTGCAAGCAGTGCGGCTGGGCAGAATCACCTCAAGGTGCTCTTCCCATGGAATCCTTGCCTCCTGAGTGTCACCTACTCAGCTTTCAAGGGTATATGGCCTTTAACCAGTTTTTTCCCCTTTCTGGGCCCCAGTTTTCCAATCTGTACAAGGCAGGAGGTCTCCAGGCTTCTGATAGGTCTTCCTAAACTTCACGTCTTTTTCCTTTCTGTTGGGGTGTCCTCTTCATTTTTGCCACCTCTCTGTCATTATCCATTTTTAAAACATGTTTACTTCAGACTTGTTCTGATTGGATGGTGTATTTCTAATAGGCATTTACCAAATTTTCAGCATCTTTTGATTAATGGTACTATTGTCTTTCGATGGCAACATTTCAGGTCTTTTTGGCTGAACTGTATGAACGCACCCTCTGTAGTTCTTTACCAGTCAGCACTAGATGCTCATCTATACTGCAGCCTGACTGCCAGTATATCCTGGGCTAGCTCAGTCCTGACGCGGAAGTCGGACCCTTCACATACAGAGGGTACCAAGGATGTGTGTTGTGGTCCTACTGCACATGATGATTTCTGAAACACAATCTGTCCTGTGGCAGATGTGTTAAGGATTAACTTTAAATGCCAGAAAGATGGCAAAAAGAAAAAGCGACACACTGGTAAGTGTTTTTTTAAAAAAACAAAACTCAAAAGGGGGCTAGTTTTCACTAATTTTATGTGAATTTGTCTTTAGGTGTGATTGCTGGCAGGTTAGGCACACTGTTCTGGAGTAGGGGTTGGCAAACTACACCCCATGGGGAAACCTGCCCTGCCACCTGTTGTTATCATGCTAATTTTTTGGCACATAGCCACACCCACTCATTTACATATTAGCCGCTGTTTTCACTCTAGCAGAATTGAGTACTGTAGGTTCAAAAGAGACTGTATGGCCCACAAAGCCTAAAATATTTACTATCTGGCCCTTTACAGAGAAAGTTTTCTGACCTCGTTCTAGAAGGAGATCAAAACCACTTGCATCAGAACCAGAGTGATCTGGATAGGGAGGAGAGACTTTGCTACATAGGTTTCCAGACTCTTCCCCAGAGCTACCAGGCCAGAATCCCTGGAGGCTGGGCTGGCCCAGGAGCCTGCAAGCACAGGCCCTCCCAACTAATTCTTAAGCACATACAGCCTCAGTCTCACTGGTCTGCAGGGCTGGACTCGGATTTCTGCATGCCCCTCTAGTTGGGCAATCCTTGGCTTGAAACACATAAACACAATTTGGGGTCCTCGGTGAAGCCATGGTTGGAGGGTGCAGCCTGACCTGTTTTGGGCCTGACGGTGGTCAGTGGGTCCAGGTAGTCTACAAGGTCTCTGTGCTTGCGGTCAAGTGCGATCTCAAAGGCCGTCTTCTCCAGCACACTGAGGTGGTCAGGGTTGGCGCCCTTCTCCACCAGCTGCTGAGCCACACCGAGCCTCCCAGTGAGTGCAGCCAGCATCAGTGGGCTCCAGCCCACCGTCCGGGCCACGTGGTTGGGATCTGCGCCCCACTCCATCAGCAGACGCACCACGGCCTCGTGCCCGTGCTGGATGGCAGCCATCAGGGCTGTGATGTCCAGTGGCTCGTCCCTGCTGCTCCCTGCCCCCAGCTGCTCGCCCGAGGGTTGGGGATGGTCCACAAAGGCACCTGCTTCCAGGAGCAGCTTCACCACACCCAGGTGGCCGCCCCGAGAGGCCACAGTGAGCACACTGGCCCCTAGTCGGTTCTGGGCGTTGACATCGGCCCCATGATCCAACAGGAGGTGTGCCACACTCATGTGCCCAAACCTGCCAGGAAGAGGGAGAATTAGTGACACCAGACACAAAGCACTCACAAGGAGACAGCTTATACACTCATTTGTCACAAATTATTAAAGTCATAACAGCTGCTTATAATAAAAGGCCTTACTCTGGTGTCAGCCACTGTGCTACCCACAGATGCAGCATCACAATGTGAGTAACTGCCCTGCTGAGGGGCAAATCCAGCTCTCCTACCCACTAGCTGCACGACCTTGAGAATGGAGCGTAGCTTCTTTCTGCCTTCATCTCCTGCTCTGTTAGCTGGGGATACAAATGCACCTACTTCAATAGTAGGTGAGGAACGAAGGAGTTAATATATATAAAGCACCTGGATCTGTGCCTGACCACAAAAAGCACCCCATCAATGCTAGCTACTATAACTGTTGCCCATTCTATTAATATATTACACAATGTGCCAAGGCGGCCCAGCTGGTAAGGGGTGGCATCGGGGTCAGAACCCAGGCCTGAATCCTGTTGTCCTTACTTTCCCCCTACACTACGCTGCCTCCTACATCTCAGAGTTCATCTCATTCTGCTTTACAGGCTGGGAATCTGTCTCCCTGCCTGTGCTCGGGCAGGGCCACGTCTGATCCATTTCTACCCTCCCTAGCCCCAAACACACGCACCCATGCCAAGAGGTGTGGCACGGCTGTGGTCAGTGAAGACGGCTGGGCACTGAGCAGAGGCCTGCTGCCACCTGCCGGCAGGAATGTTGGCTACAGGCGATTGGGAATCCGGCCTGGGCCAGACAGTCATCAATGAAGTTGGAGCTAAGGCCATACTGAGACAGATCTGTGCCTACCAACTCTCTAATACCAGGAAAAGGAAACCAGTTGCCTCTTCCTAGCAAAATCTCTTCCTTCTTTCAACACCAGAAGGCAGAAAAGTTCTGTTGTGCAGCATTTCTGGAGGGCTCAGAGCTGAAAGGGGCCCTAGACTAACAAGGAAACAATGACAAGAAGGGGGCTGACTAGCCCAGGCTTTAAGGGTCTGCAACACCACCGTCACATGTGCACCCACAAGGCAGCTTGCTGAACTTCTCCACGCTCAGTCCTCCTTTCTGGGAGCAGCCTGTCCGCTTTCTCCAAGCCCAGGGCCTCCCTCCCAGTGGAGGCAGAGCCAGGACTGAACTCTGAATACCTTCTGGGATGTGAACCTTAACATCACGGGTCACCTCAGCTGCAGAGCCGGAGCCTGGTGAACTAGCTCCATGAGTGCAGGGGGCTGGGCCTCCCTGCCTTGTCTCCAGAGCAGAGAGGGGGAAGTCTACCTGAAAGCAACTCAAACGCAGAAGTTGCACCCAGCCTGTCTCCCAGCCTCCAGTCCTGTTCCCTCCTGCCCACCCTCCATGCAGTCCCCCAAAATGATACCCTCAAAACCTAAATCTGATCGTCCTCCCAGCTTCCCACTGCGACCAAGGCCTGCCCGATCTGCTGCCCTCCCTGACTCCCCTCCTGCCTTCCCACCACCTCGCCAGTTCTATCCCTCCCTCCTAGCCCCACTGCCATCCTGCCCCTAATCCGAGGCCTCTCCTGTCCTTAGCAACTCCACACACCCCTTGTGCTGCTTCCGGGTTCAGCTCAGCTCTTACCCCCTCTGCACAGCTTCCAGACCAGCCCCCACGAAAGCAGGTCAGTGCCCTCTCCTGAGCACCACCACTCCTTGCTCTCACCTCAGGCTGCACCTGGGTTCTATTTCGATGAGAGTCCGTCTATCCCACTCGACTGTTGGCTCTTCAAGGACAGGACGGGCTTCCACACATTCTTGTTTTCCCAGCCCCTAACACAGTGCCTGACCATATCTGAACTCTGTAAATGTTGTCAAATGAATGAGTGAGTAAATGAACGCATAAGTGGCAAAGGCACGTAGGGGAAGGTCCAGGCATGGGCAGTTTAAGTGCCTGAAGAACTGTTGGGAGTAGAGACTGTAAAGAGATTATGTTGTCGAGTCAAGCATGAGATAAAAACCTAGGATAATCCCTAGCAGCTAGATTATGGTAGATTTAACACACGGTACTGTCACATTTTTTATCTCATTTGATCTTAATGAACTCTGAGATAAACTCACTAATTTCCATTTCACAGATGAAGAAACTGAGGATTAGAGTGGAAAGCAATTAAGCCAAAGCTTCTCAGTTTTAAAGTGACAAGAGCCAAAACTTAAACGTGGGACCCTAAAACTCCACATCTCAGTTCTTCCAGTATATACTCTTTACATAAAAACAAACGGACTGAACTGGAGCAGAAATACTGAAATTTGAACTGTTTTCTGAACTCACAGGTAGCCTAAGAGAGCATTCAACCATGCTGAAAATATAAAAGGACTGCACAAAGACTGAGATAATTCAGTAGAGGCTAAGTTTCTAATAGGCAATTACTGGAGATGAGGATGCGAGGGGTTTTCTGAACAGGGGCTATGATTACAACCAATTTCAGCAATTAACACCTGTGTTTAAAGAGTTGGCACACATTCTCCCCACTCAGAGCACTGGGTTGAGAGTCCAGCTCTGCCCCACCAGCCAGCAGGGAACGAAGGGCAGGACAGTAAACACCACACAACACTATCCCTTGGACAGAAGTCACTATCAAATCTGGCAAGTCATTTCCTTGCTGCCAACAAGAAGAGGTGAACTATCAGTTATAGGATTCATGGTTGGGAGCACAGGCTCTGGGTCACCCACCTCGGTGTGAATCTGACTCTGCCACTTACTAGCTGTGTGGCCTTGGGCGAGTTACTTAACTTCTCTGTGCCTCAATTTCTCATTGGTAGAATGAGGATGACAATAGTATCTATTTCCTAAGGTTTATTTTTTAGAGATAGGATCTCATTCTGTCACCCAGACTGGAGTACAGTGGCGTGACCATAGATCACTAAAGCCTCAAATACTGGGGCTCAAGGGATCCTCCTGCCTCAGCTTCCCAAGAAGTTGGGTTTATAGACACACACAACCATGTCCAGCTAATTTTATTTTTTGTGGAGCTGGGGTCTCACGATGTTACCCAAGTTGGTCTAGAACTCCTGGCCTCAACGATCCTCCTGCTCTGGCCTCTCAAAGCACTAGGAGTATAAGCATGAGCTACCATATCTGGACCCTTCCTAAGCGTTGTGTGAACTGAATGAGTTAACTCATTTAAAGCACTTAGCACAGGGCTTGATATAAAGTAAGTGCTGAACAAAGGTCATCTATTATTCTGAGATTAGGAAAAAAAATTTAACCCTGTACTAAAATATTCAGCCCACAAGAGGCCAAAGACAGGGCTTCTGATGGCCTGGCCTTGATTCTGTGATAAACTCAGAACACAGAGAGCTGGGTGACAAGCAGATGCTCACTTGGGGCAAGTGTGGAGGTTGCCAGGAATATGGTTGTGAGGACCCAAGCACAGCGAGGTCAGGGAAGAAGAGCATGAGACTGGGGAGTGTTGGCCAGTCAGTATCACCAGCTGCAGAGCAGCACACTTCAAAGGAGCCAGGCCCTGCCAAGGCACAGCTGAAGGGTGGGGGTGCATTCTCACCCATCCTCTCACAGGTCTGGTGTACTCTACCCTGTTCCCATAGGAATAAATAAGCGATTATATCAAGCCATGGCTCCCAAAAGAGCTCCCTGTAAGAGCACAACTGAGGAAGAGGAATCCAATTAGTCCAAAGCCTCTCGATATGAAAGTGACAAAGTTGGGGCACTTGGACCACAGATCCCAGCTCTATTTACAATACCAACTTTTAGAGAGGAGTGTCCTCTAAAAATGTTAAATGATGATCAGTTAACAATCAAAGGTGAGGTTAATTCTGAGTCTGCTGCCCCATCAAGGCTAAGAAATTAAATGGGAGGAATGAAGTAGGCAGAGACTTTGGCCATCCTGCAGGACTTGTTTAACAGCAAAAAACAGTGCTCAGAGGTCTCAGACACCCTGAGGCGTACCAGTGCTGCAGTCACAAACCCCACTCAGCAAGCACCCGGGGGACTCACCAGGGCCCCACTGCACTAGGTGGAGAGCAGAGATGAGACACACACCGGTGGCCTCCAAACCTACCGTGCACAAGAGTCACAGGGAAGTCTCTTCTCACAGAGTCCTTGGCCTCACTCCCCCCACCGCCCATGGCCCTCTGAATCACAATCTCCAGAAAAGGAACTCGGAAATCGGCATCTAGAAAAGCAACCAGTGATTCTGATGTGTGGCCAGGTTTAGGCACCACTGAGGAAAGCAACCAGCTATCACATGGTGTGGTGGACATGACCATAGAGGCCTTTCGGGTGCTGTGGGACCAGAGAACAGGAAAGATATCATGATAGGCTTCCTGGAAGAGCTCAGCTAGGAGGACAAGACGAGGGGGTCTTCCCCATATGCGGTTATGGTGAGGGCTCTGCAGTAAGTCTCCCCAAGACTAGCTGTATGCTCATGGGTGAATTTTGTGATCTAAATCTCAGATTCTCTGCTGCAGAGTGGAGACAATATTCTTGGCATAGAGTAAATGCTCAATAAATGTCAGCTTTTAAAAAAAGAAATGCAGGGAGACACAGAGTAGGGCTGGAGGAAATCATCTTGGCCCTAGTTAAGGAAGCCAGGGGAAAGCAGAAGAGAGGAGAGGTGAGGGGATCTGAATGGGAAAGCCATGAATGCCAAGCAAAGGATGCTGGCCCGAGGTGCCATCACAGGAGGGTGCAGTCATTCATTTCAGAAAAATCTGGAAGCTCTGTAGAGGGAGGATTAGAGAGGGCACACAAGGGGAGAGGGAAAGCAGTGGTGGCCACTACAGAGGCCTGGTCTACAGCAGAGGGGACGGAGAAGGGTGGGGACCTAGACTTGACCATAGGTGGAAGCAGGCTCCGCACGGAGATCTGCCTGGAATTTTAAAGCCTGAGAGAGTGGGTGATGCAATTAATAGAAACAAGGGACCTCAGAAGAAAGGCTGATAACCCAAAAGGCTTTACGATCACCCCCAAATGCTCAAGGGAAGAAATCAGGTATAACGCTGGACACAGTACACC